TTTAAAAGTTGCTTGTTTCATTTTAAAATGTGTTTTGTTTAAAAGTTGCTTGGCTTAAAATGTGTTATAAAATGTGTTGGATTAGCATGTGATTTAGATTCCAAACTCTCTTTCCCCCATTGTCTTCTCTGTCTCTCTTTTCTCTCTTTTTGTGCTTAACAGCACAAACCTTTATCTGAGGGGTCTGTGTGCCCCAGTGATGACCTTCTTTCTTTCTTTCTTTCTTGCTTTCTTTCTTTCTTTCTTGCTTTCTTTCTTTCTTTCTTGCTTTCTTTCTTTCTTTCTTGCTTTCTTTCTTTCTTTCTTGCTTTCTTTCTTTCTTTCTTGCTTTCTTTCTTTCTTTCTTTCTTTCCTCTTTTCCCCATTGTTCCCTCCCCCTCCCTCCTTTCCTGCCCCCCTTTTAACCTAAAATGTGTTTGGCTTGGTTTAAAAGGTGCTTGGCTTGGTTTAAAAGGTGTTTGGCTTGGTTCGGTTTAAAAGGTGCTTGGGTTAAAAGGTGTTCTGTTTAAAAGGTGTTCCCTTCCCCCTCCTTTCCTGCCCCTTTTTAAACCTAAAAGGTGCTTGGCTTGGTTGAAATGGTGCTTGGTGTCATGAGTGCAGCTGAAGACCTGGAACCAGAAGGGTTAACTGAGGCTGAGGAGAATGCTGAGCAATCAGAAACACCTGAATCGCCTCCAGATTCTCCTTCCCCAGCAGACAAGCTTTGGGCCAGGCTTCAGGGAAGACTTATGGCAAAAAGGTCAGAGGATAGCTCAAAGGCTGTCCACAGAAACATCCGTTCAACTAGCCCTGAGTATTGACAGGATGGAAAGGTTTCCAGCAGCTCAAGGGGCTGTTTTACTATAAAAACAGCTCCTAGTCAGATAGAATTTCGTGGAAGCAACAAGTCAAAACCTCTGACTTGCATCTACACTCCTACAACCTTGAATCGTGTTTCCTGACTCTGGACTTGGACTTTGGACTATGTTGTGTGTTTGACCTTGGACTCTGACCTTGGACTACGTTGTGTGTTTGACTCTGGACTCTGACTTTGGACTACGTTCTGTGAGTTGGTTTGGTAATTGAATATCGGCTTTGCATTCCTAGTATTCCTGACTTTGGACTGGCTTATCGGACCTCGGCTGTTGTAACCCCCGGGAACGTGACAACTACATTGAGAAGACTGATTGGTCTAAAATTGTTTGGGTCAGCTTTAGAGCCTCTTTTGTGAATAGGGACGATTATACTTACACACCAGCCCTGAGGTATTTTCCCATGCTGGTTTATATATGTGAACGTTCTAGCAAGCACTGCACACCACCAGGTGGTATTTGACTTAAACAACTCTCCTGGGAGCATATCTTCACCAGGAGCTTTGTTACTGGGCAAAGAACTCATCAAATCATTTATTTCATCTGGGGTGACTGGGGTAGAACATTGGGTGACCATGCATGTATCTAGATCTGTAGCATATATTTTCCTTCAGGTAAATGGACTGAAGCTTAAGTCAGGAATGTAAAGAATCCTTTCTAAATTACTCATGCTTCACGATTTAGATTTTGCTGAGAAAATGAGACATTTTGATGAAGAATTGCTCATGCTCAGCAGGATTCGCTGCCTCTACCCAACAGCAAAATGGGGTCCTCACAAAATTGGGGGGGATGTAAAAAATTAGACCTTTCCCCTCAAGAAGCAATGCACATATGCACAGATCTAGCATAGAAGAGGCAAACAACTTACCTGCTTCTTAAAATCATTAAACATCAACAAATATATTCAAGTCTTTCTACAGTATTGAGTGTTAAGGAATGCAAAAAGGCCCTTTGCTTTTCCAACTGCACAAGTGTATATTCATTATTGACCACTACACTGAAGCATTCATATTTACTACAGAGACACAAGGTACACTACTAGAGCTCACAACAGTTCTACACATCTAAAGCTTTCTTTGTTAACTAGAAATGATATTACTAACTCATCCCCCCCATTAGACAACTGTGGCAAGAGATTTATGAAACCTCCTAAAGAGTTAATTAGAAAAATTTATGTACTTATTAGATTTTTACCCCGCCCCTCTAGACAGTGTCTACTCGGGGCAGCTTACAAATAAAACACAGCAATATAAACATATGTAAAATCATTTATTTGGGTTACTGTAGTTTATCAAAGAGTCACAACAATTCCCATCTAATCACACCGAGTCCTTTTCTCAGGCTATCAGAATAACATTCTCTCTGCTCGCCTAGAAAACAACCTGTCAGCATAGCAAAGATACTTTATACCAAGGAACAAGATGGAACCTCTCTTGCTCATTTCTTAATTACAAAACCCCATATTCCTTACAAGACTTTAACTCAAAAACCCATCTCATCACAGTTGTAACCCCCGGGAACGTGACACTTGGCTTGGTTTAAAAGGTGCTTGGTTTGGTTTAAAAGGTGCTTGGGTTAAAAGGTGTTCTGTTTAAAAAGTGTTCCCTCCCCCTCCCTCCTTTCCTGCCCTTTTTTGACCTAAGTTCATCTTGGGTTAAAAGAAGAATAATTCTCCCTCTAGTGGTAGAGTATGGATTAACCAGCTTTGCTTCGACGTACGAATGGCGCCTCGACGTAAGAACCCAAAACAGCCAGAACAGATTAATCAGTTTTCAATGCATTCCTATGGGAAATGGTGCTTCGACTTATGAAAATTTCAAGTTGCGGCCACCGTTCCAATATGGATTAATTTCGTAAGTCGAAGCACCACTGTATTATTGAGAGAAAGCATGCTCGGGCAGAGTAGGAGTGGATTTGGCGGTGAAAGGACTGTAAGCCCATTTGGATCTGGTAGTCAGAACAAATTCCTCTGATCAGAATTCTTTAGTTCTAAAGCTACTCCCCTGTTTGAGGAAAACTGCACACGGGATCGTTTGTTCTGAGTGCAGACTACTCATTCGAGGGAGAATCCAGTAATCCCCCTTTTTTTGCAATGGGGCAATATGTGAGTTGCATAAGTGAAAGCAGAAGATCAAAATGGGAAATGTAGAACCCTGCTAGCATGGAACCCTTATGCTCTGTTTTTTAAAAATTGGATACTGAAGTGTGTTTATGAGTATTGACTTGGGGGTCTGAACAGAATGAGTTCCCGAACCTATGGTTGCAAGATCAGGAGCATTAATTAAAAACAATTAAAACAAAAAGCATTTAATGCTAAACTAAACCAAAATGCCTCTGCTGGTATTTCTTCCTACAGAAGAACATGCCTATGAGCAATGCCTACATTTATTGCCAAGGGAATATATCAGCCATACCCTCTGTCTCTGCATGACAAAAATAGGATTTATTGCTTGCATGGCATTTTGTTGGAAATAAATAAGTCACCACCAGATTTGGACAGATAGAAACACATACAACCAGAGTGAATTGACCAGGAACAGAGACATTGATTCCTGAAATATACCTGTTCTTTATAGAAAAGCCCTGCATGATCAATTCGGTCAAGTAGAGAATCTCCAAAATTTTGTGCTGCCTTGTGTCCTTAGTTGCATTTAACAAATTGTGATAGGGGCAAATAATGCATGTACTGGTTCTCTAGCTTTGTGAGAAAGCAGTATGTGCTATAGAGCAGTCTTAGGAGTCTCCACCCAAGTGATTGTAGGCACAAGTGGCACTACACCAAGAAATTTAGACTACAAGCTTATGTTGCCTAGCCCTTAAATACTCTTATTAAAGGACTGTTGAGTGTGGTGTACTCTTGTGTTAATGATTTCTGAGGGAAGTTACATTTTTTATTCTCTAGATAGTGGTGTAGCTAGGACTAGATTTCTGGGCAGGATGCCAGAATGTAAAATAAGGGTACACAGCCTGATACCCTGGGGCTGCCTGTTATTCTTAGGTGTTCCCTATGTGTTCCTCTTTTCCCTATAGGTACATATGTAGGGAAGCAAATGCTGTTTCCTGGCTTCTGAAATGTCTATTCACTTTCTGGTGATAACTATAAGTAAACAAGTATCCCAGTGGAGATGAATGACAATAAGAACACAGTGAAATGCATGTGTGGGAAGATATGTGCTTGCTGAAAAATATCTCTGTGTGCATGTGGGTGTGAGAGTGTGCCTGTGTGCCCATGCATATAGAACTCATGGCCCTCAGCTGACATTAGGTGTAGTCCTCAGTGCTAAAAAGGCTATGCAACCTGACATTTTGTCTCAACTTAACTAGCAAGGTTGTACTCCCTTGTCTAAAATTAACTAGTAGAAACACTGCCTTTAGGAGGTTCTGGAGTATTAATATACCTAGCGTGCAGAGTGAGTCATGGAGTTTGATTTTAATTCTGATTCTGCCTGAATAATTCATTGTGACAGGCTTACCTTACAGTAACCTTTGTGGCTTGCCTTGTGGTAAGTAACCTTTGTACACTGGACACTTGACCTGGTAAATAAAGAATATGCAATTGCAGCAGTTTCCAGGTCCTTTAAAGCAATAGCTCAGGAAAAGGAGACTCTAATTCAGGAAGAAATTGTATGACACTTCGTCTGTCATACAATTTGTGAAGTCATAAGGGGAGAGTCATAAAGGGGCAAAATGCATCCAGCAGTGCTTGGTGACATATTTGAAGTCTTCAGTCTTATCAGGAAGTTGAGGGGAATGCACATAGCTCTGTGAGATGAGGCCTGAAGTCAGACAGGGGATGGAGTTGAATATCACATTTCATTCTGTGACATGGAGCCGCACTAGACAAACCACTGATCACCATCTAGAAATAGTGCACCTTAAGAGGAAAGGTCTGTCTCTTTATTCTAACATGCCTTAATGTGGGTATGGCAAAATTGCTTTTGTTTCATTAGCAGGGTGATAGCACAGCTTTGTTTACATGTCTGATGCCTCAGACATATAGATATGAAAGATTTGCAGACCTGGAGGGATAGCACTGTAAGAGGATTATGTAGTTACCTAATGTGTGCTCATGGTCTGAAGGCTTCTCTGATCATAGTTCAAGAAGCAGGCTAGTGGGACACTTTCTTCAGACACTATAAAAACACTTACAATTCCCACTGTTGTTTCCCAGCAAGGTCCTCGATGTACATCTGCTGGATGCATAGGAGGTGGAGTAACAGTACTTTGGTTTCCTGCAGATGAATTATGGTACATTAGGATGGTCCAATGTGTCATGTTCCTGATTACTCCTTCTTCAGCAAGCTATAGTGAAAGAGACATTTGCATAACAATAATTTGACCTATGTTTCCTAAAATGCCTGCTGAGGTCTAAATTTGCATCCATATAACAGTAACGTAAACATAAATGTGTAAGACTTTGGCATATGGGGGGCCCTGACATTTACTTAACAGTTCTTAGGATACCTCAGTTTCATAGATTTGTGCTTCAGTGTTTTGCTCTCAGCAATGGGGTCAATTCTTGAGAATTCCTTGTCGACAACGATACTGCCTGTGTATAGTTGGGGCCCTTGCATCTTCATAGGTTTTTTTATACTGTAACTTTTATGTAAAGCTATAGGAGATTGCTTGTATAAATTTCAGGGTTATTTTGGCAAGTGGCTGGTTACATATTGTGTGTTTGACTGCAACTCCTATGCTATTTCCCATATTGCTTATTTTCTGTTAGCTGCAGAGTGAATGTGATTTCAGTTACTTGGTAATACTAAATATTCCCCCACTCCATTTTTCAGGGTACATTCTTTGTGTTATGTATAAATGCTTTGGTGTGCGCTTTGAATGGGACATATGACCATAATAAACTATATCGGTCAATGAATTAGAATCTTAGTTCCTTTTTTAAAAAACACAACAATGACAGTGTTTTAACACAGATAACTTGAATTCTTGTTATTCACAGTAAGCCACCTCAAAAGCATACATCATTTATTAAATTCTGAGGGTACTTCGAAATGGACAAGACACTTCAAATATATCAATAGATATCATCAATGAGAATGAAAATCTATTTTCTTTGGAGATTTGTGATGTGGTCAGGTAATCATGGGAGTGATGCAGGGCAGCCTGAAACATTTTTCTATTAAGACAAGGACAAGTTGCCTTTCCTCCTCACCCTAGAAAGGACACCACAAGCAGTAGGATAGCTTATGGGGGATGGCACACATAAGATGATGTCTGGTTCTACACCTGTTGCGCCGCACAGCATCTGCTAGCTATAGCAGATGCCTCACTCTGCCTAATATAGGGCCAGGGCTGGTTTGTAGGGAAGGGCTTTTTATGTGTATATGAAAGAAAAAAAAACAGAAGATACTCTTCCTTTGTTTTTATGTCCTTTTGTTGAGTCCCAAAACAGAGCTTCTAAAACATGAATGATTTGTATTGATGAAAGACGGGTATATAAATCTTTCTTACTCTTTCATGTTCTATGTTTACCTATTTTTTTTAACCTCTCTTTCATTTCTCTGTCAAATCGCCTAGGAAATGTTTTCATCCAATAGTGTCATAAGTGCTATTGTTAGCAGCCAATCAACACACCCAGGAAAGGGGACCATGAATTTTGAATTTGTAAAAGGGCTTTGAATGAGGAGGTATACTCTTCTTTATGGGTGAGATTTACGTATGAATGGTGCTGAGCTCCTTCGTGGTGCTCTCCATCTTGGATTGTGCTGTTTTCCTCCTGCTGCCTGTGAGACTCAAAAGAAAAGAAGAGGTATCAAGTGGTGATGGTGGGGGAAAATATTCATAATTTCTGGTGGCTTGGGCTTGTAGAGGGACTTTCATTTTTTAAATTTAATTTGCTTGCTTCCTTTTCTTAGCTTGGGGGAGATGGCCTGTGTTTGTAGGGGTTTTTAAAATTAATTTTGTCATTTCTCCCCTTTGTGTGTTTATATCAGATGAAGGACTGTTGGTTGATTTATTTTTTTAAAAAAATTATCTGTGTATTTACTCTGTTAAAAGTGTATATTCTGCTGGGGATTTTTGGAACTGTTTTGTGTTGCTGTTGTTGGTTGCTTCACTGCATGTTAGGCAGCACCTATCTTGCTAGCTGCTTGTTTGCTTTTTTGATTTTGTTTTGTTTTTGTGCTGCCCAGCCCCAGAGGGCTTCTGGTGTGCTGGGTGAGCAATACTAAACTCATACTGTTGTTTTCTATTTTCTAATTTTTGGGTGCTTTCATGCATTATGAATTGGGTTATGGGTGAGTGAGTATTTGTTTGCTTATGCCTGATAGTGATTTTTCTTTCTCATGTATTGTTACCTGCTTTTGGAGAAGACTGATTTTTGCCTTGCCTCAGCTTTTTTGTAGTAGCTTTTAATGGTTCTGTAGGGTTGAATTTGGACTAACATCAGGAACCCTGACAGGAAATAACCCAATTAAAGTTTTCTTTTTGTATTAAAGGAAAGGTCTGATGTGGGGAAAGAGTTAAAACAGAATACAAAAGTGGTGGCTGCAAAAAGAAAAAAAAGAAAAAAAAAGAAAAAAAGAAAAACCCAGAACAAAACAAATTCAATATTTTCCAGTGTGTATATCACTACAGGTTGGATCTTGATTGTCATTGGTAATGCCAGTGGCAGCTCATGTGCATTATGACATTGTTGTGAAATGGAATGCCCAGTACACATATGTGGGCAGAGCCAGGGATGAGAACCTGCCACTACATCCTGCTGCTTCCCCCATCCCTCCCTATGCAGAATATGAGGCTGGGATTTCAACAGGATGAGAAGAGAGATGGGGCCCTGATCACATTGGATTTTTTTTTGCTACCTCACATGCTGCCTATGGTAGGTGTGGCTGGGAGGGACCTTTCTATCCTGAAGTGGCTGTCAATCTGTCCAGCACTAGCCAGTCACTCCTTCCCTGCCCCTGTTCTCTCTCTCTCTCTCTCTCTCTCTCCCCCCTTCTCCCCTCTTGGTCTGTTTGAAAAAAATAGTGAGTTTGTTGAGACCTGTTGCTGAAAACAGTCAGTCATATTTGTTAGTTTTGCTGTAGATCTGTTCAAGTTGTAAGTAAATAAACATTTTCTTTCTACTATTAGCATTTCAGAGTGAGTCTAGAAATGTCAGTTGACAAATAAAAAGGGCTGGACTAATCTGGGGAACTTGAAGTTATTCTCTTCTGTAAATACCTACTTTTTTGCTGCAAAGCTAGAAGAATTTAACCAAGAATTCAAAACTATGCAACAGATCCTATGCCTCTAGTTAGGTTAAACCCTATGTAGTGTAAATTATTGTTTCTATTCTGGATACAATTCATCACCCCTGAGCTTCTTTACGCTTACGTATTATTTTAGTTAAAATTCTATAGTAGCAGGATAATGCCACAATATGTTGCATCTTTGGCCAGACTTCTTAGTGGTGTGAAAAAATACCAACACATTTCACCCACTCTGGCTGCATTGCATTGGCTGCCCATCCGCTTCCGCATCGACTTCAAAGTGTTAATGCTTACATATAAAGCCTTAAATAGTTTAGGGCCTCGATACTTAGCGGAACACCTCCTCCCACCAAGATCTACCCGTGTCTCCCGCACGAGCCAGGAGGTGAGGCTGTGGAGCCTAACGCCAAGGGAGGCCCGGAGAGAAAAGACAAGAAATTGGGCCTTCTCGGCGGTGGCTCCTTGCCTCTGGAATAACCTCCCTCCTAATATTCACGCGGCTCTCTTGCTGGACATTTTCAAAAATCAACTAAAAACATTGATGTTTCAGCAGGCCTTCCCCTCTGTCAATTCCTGATCTCCCCCTCCCCCTCCCCTCTCCTTCCACTCCCTAGTGTCTGTCCCATCTTGCTGAAAGTTTTCCTTATGTAAAATTGCTTTTAATTATATTGTTGTCATTTTTGCTACTGTAAGCCGCCTAGAGTAGTCTTAACTGATTAGATAGGCGGGATATAAATAAAATTTAATATTTTTTTTGTAAGACTTTAATGAGGCAACTGGTTAGGCTGTGTAATGAATTTCATGGAAAGTTAATCCCTACATAATTCTTCCTCTTACTGTCAGGTAGGTTTTCAAATAATTGGGATAAGTCTGGTAGAGTCCTAGAAACTTCTCCTTCAACAGTTTAATGTGGGGTTCCGGTTTCATTGCAGTGATACCACTTCCATTTGGGGCTCCGAGCAGAGAGGGGGGAACCCAAACACCGGGGTGTCCGCAGTACACATAGGTGTGCGTGCCAGTGCGGCGCGAGCACTCCCCCACCCCTTCATGGATCCACCCGAGCACCCGCACGAAAGGGGTGGGTGGGCACGCGCAAGGGCATGCAGGTGCTCTTGCGCATGCGTGAAGGGGTGGGGGAGTGCTCATGCCGGCACTGGCATGCACACATGCATTCCTCCACTGCTTCACACTTGTGCCCAAGAATGCATGCACATGCGCCCAGGAGAGCTCGAGCACCTGAGAGAGAGAGAGAGCACGGAGGGTGCTCAGCCTTCCTCAGAAGCCCAGCCTGTCCGCAGTCCTAAAAAGTTTGGGGACTGCTGCTTTATAGATTCAACTGAACCTTGGAATTCTAAATATATTAAGATCCAGTTGGGATCTCTGGAACTGTATAAATAAACAATTTACCTACAGGATATTTCTCTAACAATTCAAAGATCCAGTCCAGGTTCTGGATTTCCAATATAGACAACTCCAGGTACATCTGGGTTGGACAATACTCCTTTTTTAGAGGCTATTGGTCAAGGCTATTACTTCTCCCCCCTTCTAATTTCATTTTTTGAAACCAATAGTTAGAATCATTGGAATTAATATGTAGAAGATCAAATACATCAAAAAAATCCACACAATAATAAAAAAGGGAGATCCTCTGCAAGAAGGAAACAGACTAGAGGAAAAATTTAAATCTGTTTGAGGCATCACCTTAAAGAGTCTTATTGATGAATTAAGAGTGTTTACATTTTTTGACTTCATCTTAGTTTTTCTGAAGCCGTTAAGCTTGATTTGTTATTGAATTGTAAGTGATTTGTTATTGCTTTTGATATATAACACACTGTGAGCTATGCTAGGTGAAGGGGGAAAGCTAGAAGAGGTTCAAGAAAATGAGTACCACAACAGCTAAAGGTCCTAAAAAGATGGGATCTGCCTCTTCCTCAGGAGTATCATTAGCAGCATTATCTACAAACACAAGCCCTGCCCAATAGAAACATTTAGGAGATATTATTCAAAAAGAACAACAGAGCAAAGAAATGCAAGCTATCTTGGAAATGTTTTCTGATATAAAACTAAACCAGCAATGTATAGAAGAAACTA